AGGTCGAGGAGACTGCGTCATCACCGGTGTTACGTGTATAAGCCCCGTGTGTAGCCGCACAGATCGCCTCACACGCGATTAAGAGATAAGCCCTAAGCGCTGGGAGTCGATACTCGCGTTTAGAATCAGACAAGCATCAACGTGGCTCAGCAAAACCCCACGCGCACTCCAACTCCGCCCGGTGCCTACCGTATCACCGACAACAACTTCCGTGTCCTTACCGAGCGAGGACCAGCAACCCTTTACTTCACACCAGGCACTACCGAAGGCACCTACGATCGTGATAGCGGAGGCAACTCCAGACGTTGGGCACGCCAAGAAATCATATACTCGCAGCATCATCCGTATCCCCCACCAATGTCTTCGCAGGAATACCAAGCTTTGGTCGCTCTGATGACCCAGCTAGCCACTCAGGTCACGGCCCTGGGCAACACCGTCAACAACCTCGTCACCGTATCACAGCAGCAGGTTAACGCTCAGGCCGGCACCGTTACGCTGGAGGCCAACATCGAGAAACCGGCCAAGTTCAAAGGAGATGGAAGCATCGCGCAGAATGCTAGTGGCGCCCGGGCATTCATCGCCGCCTTTACCAACTTCGCTGCCAACAATGTCAAGCTCTCACCCGGAGGCACGCCCAAGCAGAGCGCGTGGATTCAATCCTTCCTTTCGTTCATGGACGGACCGGCGCGCGAATGGGCCGTACCTTATCTGGAGGCCATCGCCGATAAGAAAGATCCGTGGGCGTCATGGGACGAATGCAAGAAGGCGTTCAGCACGCGCTTTAGCGTCATCGCCTCGGACGAAACGGCCCGTGATCGCATCGATAAGCTCCAGCAAGGCAACCGGTCCCTGCCCGACTTCGCAGCAGAGTTTGCCGCAGTAGGCGCGCTCACCGGCTACAACGACGCGGACCTCATGCGCCGTTTCCGCAAGGGGCTCAAGCCTAGCTTCAGCGAGAAGCTCGCCATCCGTGGAGGGAAGTACACCAAGCTTAGCGAGCTCATCGACGCGGCTAGCCAGCTCTACAACGACCTCTATGAGGAAGACCGCCGGCATAAGAACAGTACCGGCTCCAGTTCTCAAAGCGCGGACTACGGCGAGGCCATGGACATAGACGCACTGCGCCAAGGCTCGAAGAAGAACCGCTTCGACTTCCTCAAGTGGATGAAGGGTCGGTGCTTCGGTTGTGGGTCCCAGGACCACAACAAGTCGGACTGCACTCGGGTCCGGAGCGGCGCGGCCTGTGGATACTGCGGGCGGATCGGGCACTTCCAGGACGTCTGCCAAGACAAGTACCTCGGTCTTGATCGGGGGCGTGGGCTGCGTTCTAGCCCGGGCCGCTCGAATGATAACTCGGACCGGAACATCCGTGGCGCGTCCCAGGAAGAGGACAAAGCCGAGCAGCTGGCTGCCAAGCTCGACAAGATCCAGCTGCAGCTCAAAGAGCTCAACGCGGCCAAGGCGGAGGTAGAGGAAGGGTTGAAGGATTTTCTGTAAAGCCCAAGGATGAGCATGCGTCTGACCCTGTTCCGGATTCTGAAACGGACTCTGACTCGGAAAAAATACGATTGTTAGCTAGCGCTGTAAAAAACGGACTTGACTTGAATATGTTTGCGGCTGCCAAACCCATGTTTTCCTTTTTTCCAGAAAAAATAGATAAACCCACGATAGTAGACTATGACGTTTCGGACTTCGCGATCAATGGTTGTACTGTACGTAGTCTACCTGGTCTATCGCATTTCAAGGTTTCGGTTATTCTTAAAGGGTCAGACGGCAAGGCTTTGAGGGCAGAAGCAATGATCGATAGCGGGGCCGACGGCGTCTTCATGGACCGAAGATGGGCCGAAGGGCACGGGATAGAGTTAGGGAAGTTGGGAAGTGTAATCAGAGTCAAGAACATTGACGGCACGTTCAATAAGGATGGCGCGATCAGTCACTATGCGGAGTTAAAGCTGCAAGCAGGCGCTCACTCCGAGAACCTTAGATTCCTTATCACGGATCTAGGTTCCGATCGCATCATCCTGGGGCTGCCCTGGCTCAGAAAGCACAACCCGGGTATAGATTGGGAAGCGGGGGAGGTCCACCTCGGAAAGGAGGAGGGTGTCGAGTCGGACACCGAATCCCAGGATGAGGAACCCCCGTTTAGGAGGATTAACGCA